CTTCTTCTTCTTCTTCTTCTTCTTCTTCTTCTTCTTCTTCTTCTTCTTCTTCTTCTTCTTCTTCTTCTTCTTCTTCTTCTTCTTCTTCTTCTTCCGCCTCTTCCTCCTCCTCCTCCTCCTCCTCCTCCTCCTCTTCCTCTGCTGCTGCTGCTGGCTATGGTTCTGTTTCTTCTGCTTCTTTCCTTCTCCTCCTCCTCTTCCTCTCCTCCCTTCAAGAGCTGAAGAAGCTTCTTGGATGAGAAGCGAAACGTCTTCAAAGAAAAACCAGAAAGTCCAGTCACCTCTTGAAAAAACAGCTTGGGACATGGCCTGCTTTTCTTGTGATGACAATATTCAAATAGTGACATCATCTATAAGCTTCTCTGAGGGAGGTGGGTGGTTCAAAAATGTGAAAAATAAATAAATAAATAATCAAAGGAGGAAGTACCTGACCTGACATTCAGAAAGATGTCCATCCCATCCTAGGATGAAAAGGCTTCTGAGAAGGGAAATATACCACCCAATTCATTTTTCTGATAATACCTTTCCAAGATGATGCTGGAGTTTTATAAAAGTCAGGGTTGTGGGAGGTTTTTTGCTTGAAACTTCCTAAATATGCCCAGTCTTCATGTACAGCATTAAGAAGTTGAGCCAGAAAATGCTAAATTTACCACAGATGTCCTTGTGCAAGATCAGAACGGAAACTGTCCTTCTAAATAATTAAAGCATCCTTTGAACTTTAGGAGACTGGGCAGAAACTCTTCTGAATCAAAAGAGCTAATAGCGGGAAAAGAATGCCAAATGAATCAAGACTCACTGCAAAAGGACACTTCTGTGGAAACTTCTGGCACCAAAAGGGGGAATCAGAAACAATTAAAGTTGCTCTGTTCTTGGCTACACACAATTCTCTCACACATGATATTTCTCCTGCCAACAGACAAGAAGCTTGTCTGTAATAAATGCTTCAAATACAGCCTCTGTCAATTTTGAAGCTAATTCAAACAGGAGAGCCAACTGAGAGGTGCCATATTTGATTGCACTTGAAGTATAACATGAGAGGAACATGAGCCTCCATTTTGATGATACTTTAATCAGTTTGTTTCTCTCAATTCCAGCAGCTTGAAAATGTGGACTTCAGTTCCCAGGATTCTTCAGCCAGCATGCTGGGGAATTCTGGGAGCTGAGGTCCACACAACTTAAAGTTGCCAAGGTTAAGAAACACTGATCTAGATCCTCTTTCGAGGAGGCTGTATGGATGGGAATATGATTTTTACCTTAAATAAGAAAGTATCAGGACATACAACTGGTGAATTCTATTATCTTTTTATTTACACCTTTGTAATTAAAATCTTTGTATGAAAAAAAGTGCTCAAAATGACTAATGTAAAATAGAAAATTATTATTTTTTTAAAAAAAACACGATTTTCTATAAAATACTGCTTTAATCACATGTCTAGGTATTTCCTGGATTTTTATTTGATTTGAACTGTGTGGAAACACAAAGAATTTTTGTAATTATCCATAATGATATATTGTAGGTATACCCAGAGCCTTTGAAGATGTAATAGAGCTTTCTAAAACTAAATAGGTTAATACATAAAAAACGGAAGGCCACATAACAATCTAATAACGGTTTATTTCTAAAATAAATTTTAAAAAGAGAATGAGATTAATCCCATGGTTTTACTGAAAGGAACTTTTAAAATATGCCACTGTGAAAGAAAATGTGACCTCATATGTGACAACAATATTGCTAGGACAATTTTAGAGTTTCAACCCCATCTTTTCAATAAGTGATCATAGATGTTGAAGAAAAAAATAATTTAAAAAAGTTTAAAAGCATGGCAAACATTCATATTCTTCGTCAGGAATCTTTGAAGAGACAAATCTGTCTAAAGAGATACCATGACTAAATACATGTTTAATGCTCTAGTGCAGTGTTTCTCAACCTTGTCAACTTGAAGATGTCTGGACTTCAACTACCAGAATTCCCCAGCCAGCAAATGCCAGGGAATTCTGGTAGTTGAAGTCCAGACATCTTCAAGTTGACAAGGTTGAGAAACACTGCACTAGTGTTTTTAATACAGAAAAGCCAAGAATATATATATATATATATTCCCTTCCTTTGGGACACCAACCAAATATCTACTGTGCTGTCTTAAAAACTCTTCTTTACTGCCCTACCACATCTTCAGAGACCATTTTTTTTATTATTTGCACAGAACTAGAAAACTGAACATCCAACCACTCCCAAAAAGTGCATTTTAAAACCAAGCCATACAGATAGAGGAGCTGGCTGAATAATCACCGACAGTGAAGACTGGAAGTCTTTAAAAAGAAAATAATGAAAACAGCCATAAGGCTGGGGCATCAAATTCTCCCTCCCAAACATCCGTTTTTCCAGAGGAAACATTTATAGAGACTGGCTGTCATTACCAAATCAGAATATGGTCTGTAATAAGCAGCGGAGTCTATGGCACTGAGCATTGCTAATATATATGAACCACAATCCAACACTTCTTTCTCCATACAGTATTAGATTCACTATGCAACAAAACCAGTCAAGCTAAAGGCTACTCCATTCTCTATTCGTTGTGCTGCCAGTTGGAAATGTGTTTCATATTAAGAGCATGCAAAATGTTCTGAGATGAATGTTCCAAGTCCAGAACAAGTGATTCCAGAAGAGATTGGACCTCCAAATGGACCACTCAAAGCATTCTGGAAGGCTTTTGGCCCGTGGTCCAAAGGTGGTGCATATCTGGCATGATCTGAAGTCACAATGGCACATTTTGAAGTCAAATGTCTTTCAGAAGACTTGGAATGCCTTGCCTTCACGTCAGAGAGGCCTGTTTGTGGGACAAAATGTTCTGTGACACAATATTTTGCGCCACCTACTTTGTACACATGCATACACACATGGCAAGAATGAATTATCCAATGGGCAACTTGGATTTAGGAATAAAAACTTAACCTGCAAATTGTTGTGCATGGACACTATACCTCAAACATCATCTGGTGATTCGATGTTTTCCCTCCGCTATTTACTCCCCTTGAAAATACTTTCTCCTTAAGAATTTTTTCTTATGAAGCAGATGATTTCATCACTTTTGGACTCAATTTTCGTTGGGTTTACCATGCACAAGCCAATAACATTATTTTTGTTGCCGCCCATTTTGCTTGTTATGCAATATATTTTGTGTGACACAACAATCAGCATGCAAATTAGCATTCTTACTTCCAGAGCACTTCCAATTGTAGTTTGATGGTACCAAGTTCAGTTATATCCACAATGATGGTTTGAGGCCTAGTTGTAAAGAAATCGATGCTGTCACATGTTACAGTGCCAACCAGGATCGTACTGAGTCCTCGCAGTTCTGTCACCTGCAAAATGTGTATGATAATATCAGTCAAACAGCTTTTCATATACCTTCCCCTTGACAAGAAGAAAAAGGGTTGAACAAAAATACTCAGATGAAGAACTACAGGGAAGACATTATTAGCTAGGATTTCTAAACTACTGAAAGAGCAAGTATAGCCTTATAAAACTAGACATTATCCTAATCTAAGTACTTCTTTTATTGGGCCAACAATACAGCATTACTACTGCAATTGAAATCCTAAAAGAAAGGAGGCAAGGAGGAAAGCAAGTTAAGAGAAGGTCCTTATTAGTCATCATGTTCATTCCCTTGGCATAAAATCAACCCCAATCAAATGGATCCAGGTGTTGCTTCTAAAATATGAAATCTGCATCTGAAGGTGGTAGAGTGAGCAAATAATTTAATTAACAGTAATGATAAAAGAGAATATTTGTAGCTCAGGATTGAACTGTTGGCACCTGGGTGTTCTCTGAGCTTGGTTGTAATCAACTGCCCAATCAAGGAACCATGAAGACCACTTCCACCAACACAGGGCAAACCACTAGAAAATAAAATGAGCAAACCACATTCCCTTCTAGCACTGATGATGTTACCTAGTTTGTCTGCAAGAAATCAACTAAACTCAAAGAGCACCAAGGATGCCATAATTAATACTACATACAATGTCATATGTCATATAAAAAAGCCATGCAAAAAGCAACACTAAAATCAGATATATTAATTCACACTGATACCCCCCATATGACATGAAGAGGAAACAAAACAAAACTCTATTGTTCTCTCAGATGGAGTTTTTTTTTAACCTCAGAAAACAGATATGTCATATTCCTACTAGTATCATGCTAGCATAGCATAGTAGCTGGCAAAGGAGCAAATATTTGGCCAACTGGATTTGGAACGTGACTTTACACCCTAACGTGGCTGATACGTTGCATAAGCTTAATCATGGTTTATTGAATAAGGTACAGTTGGCTGGGTTCACATAACACACCAAACCATAGCTCATTATTTAGAATTCACAATAAAGGCAAACCAAAGAAACTATCACACTATTTTGCATAATGAGTCAACCAGATTACAATATTTGAATATTTCACTTTATATTTTTTTTCTTTTTATTTTGGATGTACTTACTCTATAGAAATGTATAACTGGATGAATTCTGTAGCTTTCCATATGTTTCGGCATTACAATTCTCATTCTTCATTGTTAAAGATACTGGTTGGGTCAAGGGCCGCCAAGTTAATAAACTATGAGTTTATATTAGAAACATCTCAACAACTATAGATCACTCCAGCACAGAAAACATAGAATCCAAACAAGAGGATGATAAAAGTGTTCTCATCCCCCTCAATGTATAAGGCAACATATAAAATTAACCATAAACAAACTTCATACATGCATTTACATAACTCAAAGGACTTCAATCGCTTTGATACGCAACCTGTTTCTAATGAAACTTAAGCTTTGAAATGACAAGAAAACTCTTTGTGACAGTAATTTCACACATGCAAATCATCAGCTGATGCTATGTGAACTCATCCAAAGATGGTTTAAAACAGTGTGTCTACATGTGGAATCCTGATTAGCCAACAGTAGAAAAGCCAGCACTATTACTTCTCCCTCCAACTTGGAGGAGATAATTCAGCTGTATTGGCACAATGAAGGAGCTGCATGTTTTCTCACAACATTTGCATAGTGCATCTCAATTAACCTCTCATCATGTAGAGAAGAAAGGAACATTTTAAGCACATTTCCATAGGCTTGGCTGGAGAGGAATCCGGAATTCTTTCCAGCAGAGCTCTGCCTACCCGCCCCAACAAACCACATTGCCAGCACAAGAGAAATGTTGCCAGCAAACAAGCAGTGTTGCAACAATTGCTTACAGAATGTAAAAGTTTCCAAGCAGGCGATTATTCCAGAGAATTTTGCAAAAGGGTAGAAATGGCAGAACCTGGGACAGAGTAAAGTGGAATCAGCCTAGAGTACTTAGATAGCCACAAAGCAATTAAGTCGAAATCCTCTTGGATTTCCTTGACCTTTATCCAATGCCAATACAGCCTAATGGTTAGTTGGTAGATTCTTGTGCATAGACATGATTAGCAACAAATCAGTTTAACGGGTAGCTCACACTAGTCCTGATCTTTCACACCAAACCAAAAGCGAATTCATACAGTTTTTTTCTTTAGGATATGGAAAGACACGTTTACAAGGATTTGCTTTGGCTGAATCATTTTTTCAGTTTAAATAGTGCACCCTTAACTTCACACAATACACTTAAGCAAGCCAATTAAAGACCTAGAACGGGGTGTCAAACTCAAGGCCCGCTATGTGGTCAGATCCAGCCTTTCCAGGATTTCCTTACATCCTGGAAAATGTAAGAGACTTTGGCAGGGTTTACCAGTGTAGCTTCAGCCTGGTCCACCCAATGTGAAGATAGAATAGAATAGAATAACAGAGTTGGAAGGGACCTTGGAGGTCTTCTAGTCCAACCCCATGCCTACACTACTTCAGACAAATGGTTATACAATCTCTTCTTAAAAACTTCCAGTGTTGGAGCATTTACAACTTCTGGAGGCAAGTTGTTCTACTGATTATTTGTTCTAGCTGTCAGGAAATTTCTCCTCAGTTCTAAGTTGCTCCTCTCCTTGATTAGTTTCCACCCATTGCTTCTTGTTCTACCCTCAGGTGCCCTGGAGAATAGTTTGGCTCCTTCTTCTTTGTGGCAGCCCCTGAGATATTGGAACACTGCTATAACGTCTCCCCTAGTCCTTCTTGTCATCAAACTAGAATACCCATTTCCTGCAACCGTTCTTCATATGTTTTAGCCTCCAATCATCTTTGTTGCTCTTCCCTGCACTCTTTCTAGAGTCTCCACATTTGTTTTACATTGTGGCAATAAAAACTGAATGCAGTATTCCAAGTGTGGCCTTACCAAGGCATTATAAAGTGGTATTAACACTTCATGTGATCTTGATACTATAGAATCAAGATCACGTGAAGTGTTAATACCACTTTATAATGCCTTGGTAAGGCTACACATGGAATACTGGATATTTCGTCTTGGAGTAGATGAAACATCGGACCAGCATGGCTTCGGCCTGGTCTACCCAATAAGAAGATGAAACTGGCCCAGCGTGGTTTCGGCCCAATCTACCCAATGCAAAGAGTAAACATGCCAGCAGTCTGGGGATAAAGCTGGCCATGCCCAACCTAGCTTGCCATGCCCACCTAGCTGGCCACACCCAGTGAATGGTGTCAAGCTGGCCGTGTCCACCCAGTCAGCCATGCCTGGCCGGCCCCCAAGATCGATCACAGCCCTCAGTGAAATTGAGTTTGACACCCCTGACCTAGAAGCTATAGTGAAAATAACATGTGAAGCCTGCTTAGTGTTAAGATTCATTTGAGTATAGTGGTGGTTTGTTTGCAACCCCACCCCCAAATATTCAAGAGACAGTTGAAAAAGCATATACACATTTCTCAATTGTTTAGAAACAGGAGAGCAGCCTAGCTACTAGTTCAATGAAAAGGCTGTTAAAAGGAGACAAAGACTCCATCCCAAGAAACAGAAAGTCAAATTGGGTTCTAAAATGAAAATAAGCCATTGTTGAGTTTTCTGTGGCATTCTTTCTTAGTCTTCAATAAACTCCTTTTTATGACCTTATAATGCCTTAATTGAGGATAGAGTCAAGATGACTGGTTGGAATAGAGTATTTATTGGCCGGATGCCCTTCCTATCATCAAAAGGAGTTCACAGCAGATTTTTTTTTTCTTTGAGCCCTTGGAGAGAAATATCTGCCCCTATCTAGGATTGTATTCTCAGCCTTCCAAGTGGGAAGTGAGCATCTTCACCAGTAGGCACGAAGCTGCTCTTTTCTTAGCCTTCAATAAATCTTGTTAAATAAGGATTCAGCTGCTCTCAGCTATCAATAACCTAACGATTTTTGTGTCTTAGTCCTTCTACCCATTTTTTAATCATAAAGCATCACAATTAAGATTATTCCATCACTTACAGGGGAGCAATAAAAATGTCTCACAAAAGGAAGAACAAGAAATACAATCTTAGAATGTCAATCAAGTACCAACTGCTGATCCAAGGTGTCAGATCTTAAACTTGTTGGACAATGTTATGAGACTTCCATTGAGAAAGAAACATGCACCAAATACTTAGCAGTACAAGTCAGGATAACCAGAGAATAAGGTCATAAAAGTCAAGATGGCAGCTCAAATGGTAAAATCAAAATTGCATGATTTTTTTTTTCCAATGTGGATTTTACATTGTAAAATGGTAAGGCTTTGATCACACCATCATGGCTATTATCTTGCCTTTAAAAAAAACAACACTATACCCTGCAGATACCCCTGCTGGCTATCCAAAGAAGGCTTCCATTCGTGCACATTCTTACCTTGATTTCAAAATTCTCATGAAGGCTGGGTATAAAAACTTTTTCTTCCTCGTCCCAAGTTTGACTGTCATCTGTCAGAATCTTGCCTTTTATTTTCCACTTTTGGCGCCCCAGCCGTATAAACACCTACAGCGATATGCAAACAAGAGACAGGAAAATCTATCATAAATGCATTTGGGCTTGTTGTTATTGTTGTTGTTTGCAGGAATTGATGGGAAACTTATTCTTGTTGGATCAGCAAACTGCATTAAAAAAATTTACAGGCAGAGTGCACTCCATATTACATGCTAATGGTACTAATGGTAGTTTCCCTCTTGAGTTGATAGAGATGTTAGTTAGTTTACTTTATGGATTAGCCCTTGGGCCATATCAAAGTGCAGACTTCCAGACACAAATGATTACTAAAACCTGATAAAAACAAATTTAAAATGAAATTGGATAAAATATCATTTTAAATGAAATTGGAATAAAATACATGTATGTATGTATGTACGTATGTATGTATACACATACATACATACACACACACAAACACACATATATATATATATACACACATATATATATATACATCAGTGGTGGGTTTTAAAAATTGTTAGAACCTACTCTGTGGGTGTGGCCTCCTTTGTGGGAGTGGCTTGCTGCCCATGTGACCGGATGGGAGT